TACACTTCTGATTGCATTAAAAAGGCTGAAGAGTATTGGTTAAATCTTCTCTACATTTCCAAAAGAATTCAGCATGAATCCATCATGGGTCATATTTTTAAATGAACGTCTATGAAACTTTTGCATAATCAAAGGTCAGAAAGATTTTTGTCATGCTTTTTTCTAGAAGTGCTATCACTTTACATGTAAGGTTTACATTGAAGTTTATTATTAATTTAGCATTGATCTTGTATATGGTCTGATTATTAACATCTCCAAAACTCTTGATAACTCTCACCTTTATTTAAAAAAAAACTGTGAAAAGTGCTTAGCAAAAATTATAAGCCCTATTTGACAGATGAGAAAATTGATTAAAGAAGTTTTATGTTATTTCTTAAGGTCTGACAGTTGATAAGAATTGAAATTGTAATAAAAGGTCACGTCTTTTGTCCTGGGCCTCTATTTTTGGAGGCAGGCAGCTGGGGCTCAGGATGGGATCTCAGCAAAATGAAGATTCTCAACAGTGGGCTGTACGTTTGTCACAAACTTTCTCAGGCTTTAATTCTCTAGCTCACTTTAAGCTCTAAAACTGAAGAAAGAACCAGAAAGTGACTTCAGAAGCTGATAATGTTTATAATGCACACAACTGGCAAGAGACTGGTGTGAACTGACTCTCAAAACTCAATAAGCAGGGGATTTGAGGAAAAGAAGAAAGGACAAAAAACAGAATATGAGAAAAAATGGAACTAAAATTTTTATAAATAAGTTGGGGAAGTAGCATTGAAAGAAGGGGATGGGGTACAGTTAAGATGGCAGATAGATAAGAGCAGAATACAGTGCCTCCCTCACACAGACAACTCAGATGCCAAAATAACACACTGTGGGGACTCCTGGACAGAAGGAGGTAGATTCTCTGGACCCAGAAGGAAACAAAAGCAAAAAGAATCAGTCAAACATGCAGTCCTGGGGCTACTATTGAGGCAGCTAAGATTCTGTGCTCTCACACACCCGAATTCCTGCCACTTTGACTCGTTGGAATCAGAGTCACACTGAAGTGCAGTCACACTGAAGTCAGAGGTCAGCAAGCCCCACAGACAATGGAGCCAGCAAGGGACCTGCATTGACCTGTGGTGAGTGCTGGGAATAAAACCCTTCCACGGGAAAGGGCCACAACAGGGCAACATTTTGGAATTGGGCAGGACTGGCAAGAACAAGGAACAGCAGTGACTTCAATCAGTTGTTCCCTTCCCAGACGAGATTGGTGGGGTATGCTTGGCCTGGGTCACACCTCTGGCTGAGACCAAATAAGTCATCCCAAACTAATTCCCTACACACAGTGCACAATACAATGAAGGCCTCAGCAGGTTGACTGACCCAGAGGGGAGGAGCCAGAATACACTGCTCCTGGTTGCATGTCAATAACACGCTGGAGTGGGCAGGATTGCCTAGCCAGTGCACTCAGAAGAAGCATAACCAACAAGGAAATAGACCAGGGCCTCCTCTATATACCTGTATGGAATAAACCAAAAACATGAGAAGAGGAATCAATAAGAAAATCTCCCCAGCCCCCAACCCTGAGAACATCAATCTAGGAGAGGTAAATACAAAAGTGATTGAGGACAGCAAACATGCAATATCAGACACAGCTTCAGTGGACATAAAGAGATATCTTCAGGACCTCATAGACAAGCTCAAAAGTGAAATATTTAATCAAGTAAAGCAGGATATAAGTAGATTAATAAAAGAAATGCTAAGCACCTCTCAAGAAGACACAGATGGAAGAATGGAGGAGCAAAAAAAAGGAGAGAAATAGTTGATGAGAAATACAAAGAAAAACTAGAATAATAAAGCAGGTTCAAAGAGATTACCAGGAAATGAAAAACTTCACTGAATGCTGGCAAAACTGCTTGAAAGAAACTAAGCATAGATTATCCAAACTGGAAGACAAGTATACAGTGTGGGACTATGAAAGGAAAAATTTCTTAAAAATAACAAGGAAAAAGGCAGTAAAAATATAAAAGGCAAGAAGACAACAAGAGGACCTATAACTTAAGAAAAAAGAATGTGAATGAAGAAGCAGGGGTACAAACAAAGGAACTACAAAAGCTATTCACAGAAATAATTAAGGAAAACTTCCCAAGCATAGGAAAGGGAAATGATATCAGATGTATGAGGCATAGAGAACTCCAACCACCTACAACAAAAACTGAACTACACCCAGGCATATAATAATCAAGGTCCCAGAAATTCAATATGAGAACAGAATATTCAAAGCTGTCAGAGACAAGAAATAATTACTTACAAGGGAAAGCCCATCAGAATTATAGCAGACTTCACAGCACAAACCATCAAATCGAGAAGAGCATGGAGCAAAGTATTCCAAGCCCTGAAAGAAAATAACTTCCAGCCCAGATTGATGTACCCTGAAAAACTGTCTCTAGAAATTAATGGAGAAACAAGATACTTCAAAGACAAAGAGGAACTGGGGAAATTCAGGGCCACCAATCCAACTCTACAGAGAATACTGCAGGACATTCTAGAAAGAGACAGAAGTACCAGGATTCCAGGAACAGTGGCAGAGAGGCCTCAATTAATGGAGCAGAAAGTGGAATGAAGAAGAAAAGCAGACAACTAATGGCAGAAAAAGAGCACAAGAGAAATGAGGCTGAGAAGGCTGGCTATAATCTCTAATATAGATGGCCTTGATACACCAAAAAAAAAAAAAAAAAAGAAAAGAAAAGAGAAACACAGGCAGAGTAGATCAGGAGGAAGGGTCCACTGAGATGCTCTTTATAGGGAATATAATTACCCTGAAAAAGGGTTTATGGTCTGAAAATCAAATATGAGAAAATAATGCTCTGTGTGACAGGGAACCAGAGACTAATAGGGGTAACTCGACCAGTATTTGTAAACAGGTTGAAAAGACAGGCTTTAATAGGTAAAGGAATACAACTAGAGATCAAGTCCATACGGAAGAAGGTTCAGAACCACTTAGGTAAATAGCAGGTTGCGCCCCCACTCTAAAAACTGAGGGTGTTGGTGAAACCCAAAAATGCGCAGTGCACCCTGGAGGAGTGAAAGAGGAGGAACAGTCTTTAAAAAGATGGCAGAGGATATTGTTAATAGTGTATTAGGATTTAAAACCCACATAACTCACACTGCTCTGCTTAGATAGATGTTATTCTGTCCCAGTTTGTCTACTTGCACTAGATCTGAAGGCACAGACAGCTATCCCAAAAATAACAACATACATTACAGTAATCATCTTTAGTTTCCTATTAACTTAATCTGGAGCCCTGTATGACTTATACTGTTTTATCATGACTGATCTTTGTTAAATCTGCTTTGTTTGATTGCTTTTTCATATCGATAGATTTTATTCAAAACTGTTATGATTGATAGTATCAAGTCTGAGAGTATAGACAACTACACTGAAGATGACAAGATTCACTACAATACCCATTCTGGTTTGATTATTATCTGTTTTTGAAGTTTTACACTATCTACAAAGTTTTGTTTTTATTAATATGGCTATGTACTGCTATATTGAATTATATTAAGTCTGATGATATAGACAATTCTATTGAAGATAACAAGAAACATCACAGTATCCATTGTAGAACTCCTTGTACAGTGGTTTTATATGTCTTTATCATTTCATGCATTTATAGGAATATGTTTTGTTTTGTCTTGCTTCTCCCTCTAATATAGAAGGGATAGAAATACATGTTAAGACTCATGCATGCATAGGACCTATAAACAGTTTACGAGAGCTGATCTTATAATGCATGATGAAACAAATACTTTGAAGAAAAAGAGACACTATAGTACCCAATGCTGATCCTGGAGTGTCATGATGTGAAATCCAGCAATACTATTATTCTTTGTTCAGAGTGATTTTAGCCTACTATGTTTTGTTTAACCCCAACATAAATGAAGATATGGATAACTGTATATATGTTTAAATGTATAGGATTGATAACCATTACTAAGTTTTTGTTGGATAGTTGAACAGAACCATTTGCAATCTTGCAATCCCCACTTTGCATGTTTCACTTTTGTATCTTGGACTACTATTTGTAAGAGGGCAATATGTAATCATCAACTACTGATTTCTTACTGCTTATTTTTTCTTTGAAAGTATGTATTATTTCTACTCATTTTCTATTTTGTTTAGTGTTTCTTTGAAAAAAAAACTTTTTAAAAAAATAAAGGAGGGGATGGGACCAGTAGAAAAAAGAACTTTGTTCAAGTGACACTAAATTTTGATGACAATAGTTATGACAACTCAGAATGTGTTTAGAAGAAAAGTCCAAAAATAATTATGGCTTGAAATTAAAACAAAAAGGAAAAATTAAGGACACTAAAACAAACCTAGAAAGAAGAGGCTCAAAATGATAATAAAGTTTGGGCTTTCCTTCTGAGGGGCTGAGTGTGGGGAAAATGGGCTGGAATTGTCTATTCAGTGATGCAACTTTCTTCCTCCTAATTGAGGATTATTCAGGTTCTTTATCTTTAAAGACAGAACAAACTTTTTTGTAAAATTTGAGTTTGGAGTCATGAATTTGTCAAACATGGGTACTGGTAAAAGATTTCAGCATGAGAGTTCCATGACCCTCTTGCACAGTACCCTTAGAAATCTTTAAACTGCTATCTACTCTACAGCTTTATACAGTCCCAGGAGGTTTATTGCCTATGACCTTCCTTATTCCTTAGTCTTAGTATCTTAACACTGTTGTTCCAATGACTGATATAAGTCTGATCATAGCTCCTAAGAATTTATCCTCATGACCCTCATTCATGAATCCAAGTCCCTGAAGGCCCTGCCAAATCAAATCCCAGTGCTAGATTATTCTGTTTTATACTTAGCCTCTATTTGCACATCTCTCTAGCCATCAGGGACCAGCAGGCTGACTGTGCAGGCTAATGCAGTGCCCCCTCTGAAAGGCCATAGAAAAAATGAAATATCACCAACATCACCACATTAAGCTACAATGTCTTTGTGCTTCTATTCTCTGCAGCATGGGTAGGAGCTCTTGCCATGGGCATGATCTTCTTCTGTTCTCCCATTGTGAGTATATTCACTGACCGTTTGGGCTGCCGAATCACAGCAACTGTAGGAGCTGCCGTTGCTTTCATTGGCCTTCACACCAGCTCTTTCACCAGGTAAGACTAGAGGTTGCTGGCTACTTCCCAAGCCTAAAGACTGCCTTCATTTGGGAGCTTCAACTAGGGACACTCCTCCCCTGTGGCCTTGACTGAGTAAGGCCCCTGAAAGATTCATGATCAAATGGAACTCATTTAGATAGGGTTTGCAGGACACACTTGTCCTAAGAGTTCCAAAGTGTACAGAGGAATTTAAGACAATTCTCATCCCAGTTTCAGCCACTGAAAGGCTATGGAACAATTGATATATACCATTCCTTTCTCTGAGCCTCAAATTTTCAATCTGTAACGTAAGAGGATTAGACCAGGTGGGCTTTCCAGGACCATTCAAGCTCTGCCTTTCTATTCTCCTCCAATGTACCAAACATCTCATGAGCTCACTTTCCCTCCCAGGAGTAAATTACTTGAGTCAACCCATGTAAACACTTAGCATTCCAAGACTCCAGAAGAAATCTTATGCTGAAAATAGAGGTCAACTGAACCCAAGGCTTTTTAGTATGTCTGGCACTTGTCCAGGTACCTCTGGTTGCCGACCAAAAGATAATTTGGGACAGATTGATTCATGTCTTGAGTTTGAGAAGAATGTTTAGCAATATTCCTTACTGAAAGGCAGCCCCAGAACCCAGCAATCTCGCCAAGTACAGAGTAAACTAAAACTCTAATCCCACAGATCCAATGGTAGAAGTTTCTAGTGTTAGACAAGAAACAGGCCACAGCTCATATTTTGCTTTCTTGCCAGCCCTATAGCAGCTGTGTATAGGAGAGAGAAAAATAAAGTTCTTACATTACAGCTTGAGGACTATGGGTTTCCTAAAGAACTCCGTTGACTTTCTGCAGGTCCCTTTGGGAGTTAGTGTATCTCCCACTGCCAGTCTGTTTAGGATGACATAGGAAAATGTTGCCCTGAAGACATGGAAATGGCCACAATGACACATCTGGAATGGGGCAGAGCTAAATTTTGAGAAATCAGTTTCTGAACTTCACGCCCCAGAGAAAGGCCATGGATCTCTAGGCATAATGTTGCACTTACACTGGAGAATGATTATTGTGTTTTGCCTCAAATAGGCCCAGTAAGGGTGAGCCAGTTTTCTTTATGACTTGAGTATTTCCAGCTGCCCATCCTGCTCTCCAGGAGAGCTCAGATTTGGCTTATAATGACTTCTTGCAGAAAGCAAGAAGTCCCATTAAATAAAGCTTTGTCCTGCCTGGAATCTTCTCAGTCTCACCAGATGAGCAGTTACAAATCTTTTCAGGTCACCTCTGGTTGTCGACCTCACTTGCCCCCATCAAGTCAGTACCTGGTTTCTTATGGAAATGAGCAAGACTTCAGAAATACTTTCAATCTCAGCAGTACATACCATAGCAAGGCCTGTTATTTGAGGCTGAGTAGAGAAACATGTAAACAAATTAGCGAAATATGGATCCTGATTCCCTTCCAAATGGATTCAGTCATGGGAGGCAAAGGAGCTCAGATGTGGTGTCTTCTGGCACACTTCTTTAGGCACACTGGAGTAAATGCCTTGTTTTCTAGCCCCTAAGCCCCTGAGTACATTTGTTCTTTCTGTAAGAACATTTCCAGAGCCAAGAAACTTTCTGGATGGTTTCATGTCCAGTGAATAAATGACTGTACTTGTGGCTGGACTCCAAGTCATCCTTTCTATTGTTTAAAAAATGACTCTGAGTTCCTTTGCATGACACAGAACAGGGCAAAGTATAGGTATAGCTGATAAGACTTCAGCAACCCCACTCAGGGGCTTTCAGTTCTGGGATCCAACTAGAAATACCACACAATACCCTGAGCTAAATCCAAGTTTTGTTACCACAAATTCTTCTCAGAAGGTCTAGTTCCTCTCACATAGATAAAGCCTCATCCCATACCATTCCTATAGGGTACATAAAGTCTCATGAGAGGAGATCCAAAGGTACTTCATAGAAGAGAAGCAGTTAGCTTTATCTTTGCATTCCAAATGGAGACATTTGTATGAAACCAAAACCACTGCTCATGCTTAGTGAATACAAGCAGATGGAATGAAACAGTGACAATAACTATCTTGGAAAGCTAGTACCATATCATTTCTGTAGCATAGGCCCAGACATTCAGTATGAAGATTAGATCTCGTTTTAGGAAAGAACTATCTGTCCCAGAGCCTTAAAGAGTAATTAAGTGGCCAAATGAGAACTATTTCAAAATATATGTAGGCATCAAAAAGAAAAAAAAATTCACTAGGTTCTGCCAGTATTGTACAGGGGCAAGTAGCTGGGCATGCTGATCTTCCTATGATCTTTTTAGTTCTTATACTTTTCCCTCCACAACAGAAGTTTATGGCCACAGCAGAGTCTAAGAATTTTAAGACAGGACCTGTGTTTCATGATTTAACCCAAAACTTCTTTGAGGGTTCTCTGCCTGTCTAGTACCCAGGATACTCTAGGTAAACTAACTCATACCATGTCCAGCAACAGAGGTATTACTCTGGAAATTAAAAAGACTCTTACCTCAGGATACCACCCATGTAGATCATCCAGTGCCTTAGATAAAATTCTTAGGCCATCTGGGCTTTGGACGTGGTTGGGGAGGGTATGTCTCTGAAATTATGAGCCATTCTCTGAAATATGAAGGACCCTGAGCATAAAGAAAGACTAAAGAGTTCTATATAGGTTCTCAACCTTCCAGGATCTTGTCTCTTTGAATAACTTTGCAGTTACTTGGGATAAAGCTTTGGCCACCAAACTACCAATGCTGTCTACATGAACAGTCTGTCCAAGGCTGCCTTACTCTCCATAGCACCTTATCTAGACTTTCCATAGGCTGTTTCTGGCTTGAGTTTGAACAGTTATTGGTGGAGTGCCATGATGCATGTTCAAAAGCAAGCCAAAAACAAACTATGGAAAGGCTCTGAAGGTCAGTGGAAAGGTTTTAGGTTAAGGGTGGCAGGATAGAGATCTCAGGACACTAAAGGGGGAAGCAGATGGCTTGCTGAACAGGTTGCTGAAGGTAACTTTTGTTATCTTTCCCACAGTTCTCTAAGCCTGCGCTACTTCACCTATGGGATACTCTTCGGTTGTGGCTGTTCTTTTGCCTTTCAACCATCTCTCGTCATCCTGGGCCACTACTTCCAACGTCGCCTGGGTCTGGCCAATGGTGTTGTGTCTGCTGGGAGTAGTATCTTCTCCATGTCCTTTCCCTTCCTTATCAAGATGTTGGGGGATAAGATCAAGCTGGCCCAAACCTTCCAGGTGTTGAGTACCTTCATGTTTGTCCTTATGCTACTTTCACTCACGTACCGGCCCCTCTTGCCCAGCTCCCAAGACACCCCAAGCAAGAGAGGTGTCCACACCTGGCACCAGCGCTTTCTGGCTCAGCTCAGGAAGTACTTCAACATGCGAGTATTTCGCCAACGTACCTACCGCATCTGGGCCTTCGGGATTGCTGCTGCAGCCCTTGGCTACTTCGTTCCCTATGTACACCTGGTGAGGAAGAACAGGCTGGGTCCACTCCACCTGGCCTCAAAAAGCTGCCCTCAACCTTCCTGGAGTTTTGGGGTGGGGGTGGAGAATATTGAAAGGGCAAAGCTGAGATATTTGAAGGAAACAGTAGTTGGGAGAAAACCAGAGGAAAAAGGATAGATCATTAAAATATGAAGAAGGGAGGAGCTCCTTAGGGGAAGGCCCATGGAACACAGCTTTCATTACAGTAAAAAATCTGTATAGATTTTTATATGATGGCCACAATTTTGATGCAAGGAACTGGCCTAGATAGCTCAAGACAAGATTTCCTAAGATTGTGCTCTTTTCAAAGCTAATCTTTGTGGTCAAATTATTTTGTTTAGGAAATAATATACTACTACTTATCTCTCTAGTTTTACAATGTGTAGTAATATCTTTAATATATAAATATGGCAGCAAAGAAACCTATTGAGGTATGTTTAACCTAACACTCACTTAACTACGGGGCCACAGAAATGTTGGTTGTAGATCACCAGCTAGCCTCCATAGACTGTGTTCCTTAGAACACATTTTGAAAGTGTTACTAGGAATATGGAGGAGCCTTCTCTCCTGGTGACCTGGTGTTGCCCCAAAATACTAGTTTGAGCTCATGGTGTGGGGAGAATATAGAGGTACCGTTGGGGAAGGTTCAATTGTTAAAGCTATATTCCATCCCACCAAGGCTTAAGGGGACGTTAGAGAGTCTCACCCTCCTTAGCTGTTGCTCAGAAGCTCAAAATCCAGTGGACCAATAAGTAGGCAACCTTCGGGGCTATTAGAAGCAGGTGGAGAACTTATTCTGGAGCCATGGCTACAAGGGAGAGAGATACAGGAACTAGGGCTCTTGTCTCAGTCCAGGGAAGTAAGCAGTAAAGGTCCTGTATTCAGCTCCACTTCCCCCTCCTGTTCTGGGGTTTCTGGTATGTTTTTCAGATGAAGTATGTGGAAGAGGAGTTCTTGGAAATCAAGGAGACCTGGGTACTCTTGGTGTGTATTGGGGCTACCTCAGGACTCGGGCGACTTGTGTCAGGCCATATCAGTGACTCCATTCCTGGACTTAAAAAGATCTACTTACAGGTAAGTCTTACCTCCTGTCTACTGTGAGGAAAACCAGCCTGCATCAGGTTATCTCCAGGCCTTGGGATAGAATGGTAGGGTATGCCACTGTCATTCCCCTAGACTGCAGCTCTAGCATCACATGGATCATTGTGTAACATGGAGAAGTCAATCAAATCCTCTGAGCCTCAAGTATCCTTTGCTTTCAAACAAAGGATACTCCACCAAAATGGAGCAAGTATCTAGGGTATACTATAAAGTGTGTATGGAAATTTGAGAATGTTTTTTGGAAAGATTTGTTTTGTTTTGCTTTGTTTTAATAATGTCTCTCCAACCAAAAGTTCCTCCTTTGACTTGACCAAGATCAAATTGAGGCCAAGAGTTATATGAAGCCCACAATAAATGCTAATTTCACAACTACCACAATAAGGACTTACTTTGTTGTTACCCTACACTTTGTTGGGAACTTTTAGAGATCTGTAGTGCTCTGTAGCTCAGTGTCTGTCCTCTAGTTCCAGGCCCAGCTCTACCATATCTCATACTTTTAGAGATACTTGCATCAAGCACTGGATTTCAAATACTATCCTATCAATGGATACGAAAAAAGTGTCAGATCTCACCTCACCTCTCTAGTCCTCATTTTTCATCACTTATTCAATGGAAATAATTCTTCCCTCTCCTATGTCAACATACAAGTCAAGGTCAAAAGGAATATTTGTGTGACCAGGTTGTAATCTGACAGTAACAAAATTTTTCTTATACTGTAGGCAGTATCCATGTGGGTGCTTCAGTAGTCAGTTTTTGTGAACTGGGATCTTGTCTTTTTTGAGTACAGATTACTACTCAAGGTGTCAGTTTTGTGTACCTGACAGTAGTACTGCATTCCTAACTTGGCTCATGCTTTTTGCTTTTGCAGTTGGGTTTACCAAAGTGCCAAGTGTAGAGCACTGTGGAGGGTCATAACAACCACAGAAATCAAGTAGACAAAAAAAATCTGGAAGGTGGATTAACCCAGGAAATCCCTGAAACCATTTCCAAGGGTCCCTGTCTATACTGCTAGCAGGGATTTCTCTGAAGGCCCTGAGTGTGTTTCTAAGAACCCTCAGATGTTTGAGATAAGGACATAATTAATTTTTCCTGTTGTGGTTAACTCTGTGTTAGTTTGCAGAGCTGGTGAATCTGCTTTGTCAGAGCTGGGTATGTCTATGTGGTCTTATCAAGTCCAACTTCTCATTACACTAATGAAGAAACTGAGGAAAAGGCTTCTCAGATGGTCATGATAGAACTAAGCTCTTATTGGTGCCCTTATATTCCATCTTACCCTAAATGATGGTGATAGAGCCAAAGCTTAGAGATAAGTGACTTGACCAAGTACAAACTGAAAGACTGTGGTTAAGATAAACCAATTATGAATTTTTTAATCCCTGTGCAAATATCAGGAATAACTAGGTGACTGTTAGCATAAGAGTGTGTGTGTTTTCCCAGCCTGTTTACATGACCCTCACAGGTGTATATTCCCTGCCACAGGGCTTGGGAAATCAAGATAATCTGGCACTAAGCCAGGACTTTATCTGGGGTAAGGCAACAGCCCCTGTCTAGCCATATAGTTCGTGTACTTCTCATCATGGTTGCTAGGAGATAGGTAGGATCCTACAGCTTTTGTTCTCAATTGTGCAGTAAGAGTTCCAACACACAGGTAGGCATAACTAGTTAGAGTTCAAGCTAGGCTAAAACCTAGTGTTTCTGCTACCTTTCCCCATCCACTATCTGCTCCTGCCCCTCTTCCTTACTCATACTTGACTCCAGTTAATGGCTTAGAATAATATCAAATAAGGGGCTGGGGATTTAGCTCAGCGGCATAAGCACCTGCCTTGCAAGCAGGCGGTCGTGAGTTTGATCCCTGGTACCAATTAAAAAACAAGAATAATATCAAATAATCTTGAACATTATAAATGAAACATATCTTCATCTTGTAGTTCATCTCTCTCATTCTACAAATCGAGTGTCACAGGCCAAATGCACAAGAAAATAAATGAACTTCTGCTTTCTCTTGAGCTATCTCAAGACACTCCATCATAGGAACTGACCTTTTTCTCCCTGGGTCAGATACATGAGTACAGGTCTAGGAGAAGAAAAGAAGTACACAGCTCCAATTATGAAGAGCCACCCACTAGACCAGTGGTAGCAAACGCATGGCACACATGCTAAACAGATTGTTATCACTGAAAATTCTAAAAGGTTTGCCATCACTACCCATAGTTCTACTATTGGTAAAGACAGGCACAAGTGCGTGGCATCTAGCTGCAGGACAGTCCTTGGAAAGGAAAGTAATCCTCTTCTTTTCCAAGACAAAAATTCAGGAAAAGCTCCTGGATTCCTAAGAAAAATTCCTGCTGTGAGTATAATGAGGGCCCCCTTCGAAGTGCTTTCAGGGATTTTCTGGGAGAGAAACTTTTAAGATAGTCTCAGTTTGGACCAATTCTTGAGGTCTGATTTTCGATTCCAAAGATTTTTTTTATTTCTAAATCTTAGGAAGGCATCACAGATGATAATAAAAGGCTACCAATAGCTACCAATTGGATACAATAGCTACCAATTGAAACTGATTAAAATCGGTTAACACTATCCTTTGTGTTACATAATGATGTTAACTCTTAACTGCCATAGCAGTTTTGTTTGATAGGTGAGTCCTTTTCATCACACAGTTGTGTGTGAGTTTCCAAAAGAAGAAATTGAGATACCTCAGTTGTTACTCCTTACCTCTGTCTAGCTATATCAAAATAGCCTAGACAAAAATTCAAAGTTCCCCCAACAAAGAAGTGTCCTGAAATGATGCTATGTTTTCTAATAACTAACCAATCAACACAGCATCAGCAATAACACAGAAAATCTGTAAGGCCTGAAGAAGACTTGATTCAAACTTCTTCCATACTTTCGGTAAATTGGCCTGTTTATTGGCTAACAACAGATTATTGAAAAATCCTTGGGTCTTTAGGCCTTAGTAAACAGATCAGGTGTTAACCCTGGCCTGAAGTGACCTTGATCTGCCAGTTTGAAGAGTTGACTGAGAAAGGAGCAGTGGTGTTCTTTCCTCTGCCTATAGCCTAGATATTCAGTCTAGCTTACAGGCACAGATTGTAAATAACCTTATTCAAAAGATCTGTTTTGTTTCCGGTGGCCTTTGTCTCTGTTGAGGGTGAAAAACAATCTCTAGAAAGATAGTTTGTTTTGAAGTCATTCTGTTCAGTCCCCTAAAAAAAGTGGCTAATGAGTGCTCCTGGACTGGCTATAGGCTCCCTAGATAGCTTCTTAGTAGCATGATTCCCCTGAAAGTCCCCATTATTGTTTTCTGGGATATTCACCTAAGCCCATGGGCTCCCGGAGACATGTTATGATTGCCTCAGTCACATGATGTGTCCCATTTCCCAAAGCATAAAGCTTTGAATGAACTCCCAAAGCTCTCTATCTAAAATCTACACCCTCAAAAATGGGTACTGGTTCCCCACTGTAGCCCCCATCTAATCTTCACAAAAGGCATCCTCATCTCCTTTCTTTTCTTTTCCCACCCCTTACTTGGGCCTGAGAACATCTGAACCCAGGCCCAGGTATCTGGGTCAGCCAGACGCAGGAGCAAAAAGCAGAAATAGCAATTTCCTGGATCTCTGGATCCAGTGCAAAAACCGACTTCCTAAGGTGAGAGGCCAAGCCCTCACTTTAATTTTTTTTTAAAAAATTATTGTAAAGCAAAAAGAAAAGAATGATACAGAATTTCAAAACAAAATAATAGATTAACACTGGTTAATCGATTGTGTATTACTATCTTCAAAATAGTTGTTCAAATTACAAGATATAGGCATGAAAAAATGATCAAACATCAAACAATGAAAGTACAAACTTCTTTTTGATGAACTAACAGAAATTAGAAGTATAATTATTTTTTCTGCGTGTGTGTGTGTGTGTGTGTGTGTATATATGCCCTCATTTTTTAAAAAGTCTTGTTATGTCCAGTTAAGTAGGGGCTCTCTTAAAGACTTTCTATTATTCACTGCAGGAGTTAGAAGGGATTAAGTAACTATTTAGTCCAACAGCCCTCCCTGACTCTGACACCCCATTCCTTGCCCAATTTTATAGGTGATAGCAATGAAAATCTGAGAAAGATGATGACATTTGTTATGTGCTCTTGAATAACTAGAAAAAACATGAATTTGGGTCCTTGTTCCTCTAGGTCCTCTCCTTCCTGCTCCTGGGCCTGATGTCTATGATGATTCCCCTGTGCCGGGACTTCTGGGGCCTCATCGTTGTCTGCCTCTTCCTGGGCCTGTGTGATGGATTCTTCATCACCATCATGGCCCCCATTGCATTTGAGCTAGTGGGCCCAATGCAGGCTTCACAGGCCATTGGCTACCTCCTAGGCATGATGGCCCTACCAATGATTGCTGGGCCTCCCATTGCAGGTGAGACTGGTTTCCAGAGAGAGCATGTGTCAGCTACTTCTGTTTTCCCTGAGCTCTACATCTCCTGAGTGCCTCTTCTTGAGGCCCCTTTTCCTCTTATTTTGAGTAAGCAACCTTGCCAGTGCATGAAACTCTTTATGAAACCACTGGTGAATGGCATTAAACACAGTACATAGACATGGATTCATGTGGGGGATGGATTTTCTATAGCTGTGTATGTTGCACTGGGGCTTTACTGTAGAGAATATGGCTTCTTTCAGGAGAGTAGAGAGAAAAATGGATTTGGCCTTCTTATCCATTCTATTGATTTATGTTTTCTTGCTCTCTCTTAGTCAAGTGACGATTTTCAAAGTAGTTGAATAAAAAAAGTGGAGAGAGAAACTGGGTCCTATTTTTATTAAAATTTAGAAACACCCTCCTCCTCCTTCTCTACCATCTTTAATTGAGATTTGATTAAGGAAACACTCCAGGGCTTGCCAAAAGAAGTAGCAGCCAAAGTGTTGAAGTACTGTCTTTCAACACCCCTAGTTCTCCCTCCACCCTACTTGAAAGGCACTGTTGGTACCCCAAGGAATATAAGAAACAGTAAAACCAAGAATTTCATCTCCTTTCTAGGGATTTATTGAAAACACTGATTAATGCAGTAGCCTCTCCTAGGCTGGTCAAATGGTTTAAGTCAACAAACACTCCTTGAACATCAATTATGTGTGAAGTGTTTCAAAGGTATCCATGTGATAGTCACAAAGCTTTCACTCAGGCTCTTGTGTAGCAGCCATACTTGGAGAGGGGAACATCTACCCTGTTCCTGATCCCAATAGTGCTCAAGCATCCACAACTCTTTCTATTTTGCTTACTTCCCAAGTAATCAAAAACCTATGCCTTCGTGCCATTCCTGGGTAGTGTTTCTGTACCTCCCTATGAGGTACATCATATTAGCTTCTGGAGGACAGCAAGGGATGCCTCATATTCCATGTTAAACATATTCATGGTATTGGTAGCTTGGAGAAACCCTGAAGGCCCAACTATATCTGTAACTGGAAGAAAGACACACACTGTTTCTTCTAAGGGAAATTGGAGGTTAAGAGAAAGGGCACTCAGAGAAAAATTAAATAGGAGCTCAGTTGAATTGTTCCACAGGAACAATATGGTAGTGGGGAATGGTACAAGGAATAGCACTGTGTGCAAGTATAAGGCTTGGTCATCTTCTACGAAGTTCTTTTAAAACTAGATTTCCTCTTAACTCTATCCATAAGAGTGGCTAGGTGATAATGTAGTTTGACGAAAATCACAAATATAGAATTTTCAAGGGAATATTATTTTTTCCAGTAATATTCATCTTAAGGGCCTGTAGGCCCATTATCTTCTTTGAACTTGAGGGAGCTTCTGAGTAAAGCCATTGAAAGTTAAGATTCACTGGTTAGGCACTGATATAGCCCCTAGTTGAGGCAGGGAGTATCTTTGGATGGCAGAGCAAAACAGATCTTGACTTGTGTTTCTTGACTCTTTCAGGCCTCCTCCGCAACTGTTTTGGAGACTACCATGTGGCCTTCTACTTTGCCGGTGTGCCCCCCATCATTGGGGCTATAATCCTCTTTTTTGTCCCTCTGATGCATCAAAGAATGTTCAAGAAAGAGCAGAGGGATTCCAGCAAGGACAAGATGTTGGTCCCTGATCCAGACCCCAATGGGGAGCTACTGCCGGGCTCCCCCACCCCTGAGGAACCTATCTAATGCCTTTTTTTAATATTGTGTGCTCCACCCAGCCCTTCTTCTTCATTCCACCCTGTTCAGCATTTACATACCAGCACACTTGTCCCCAAACCCGTGCACATACATTTTAGCTATCCCCTTGGAGCCAAAGCTCTAGGTGTTCCACATTCAACCAAATTCTCCCCATGAATGCCTTTAAACTTCCCAGAGCCCATCTTCCACTATCTGGGCAAGCTTAGGCTCACCTTCTGGGCCTTTGGAATTTCTCCATATACTTTCTGACCCCTGAGGAGGAGGGTGCAGCCTCCTGGCCCTAGCTTGTTATTCTCTCTATAAAATCAAGGGCCAAAGGTGCTACTGCACACCCCCCAGGAGCCTAGTGGGGGATATCCAAATTTTCATTTGTTGAAGAATCCATTCCCATTCCTGCTTGGGAATCATTTGGGGTAGGGATAGGGGGGCAAAAATGATACAAGTAGCCCCGGTTAACATCAGAGTCCTGATGGCTGTGGCTTCCCAAGAGCTGTGTACAGGGAGTATTCTCATGTTATTATTGTTTAAAGTCTGCTTCTATCTTCTTTTTATTTCTCCTTTATTGCCTCTTCTCTATTCTCTTTCCATTCTATTTCTTTTTATGCCTGCCATAGACACATAGGTGCTTGGAGAAAAGGAAAGACTCAGAGTAATTAGCCTCATCTTGGCCCAGTACATTCCTAGCACTAACATTAACCTCACTCATTTCAGGGTGAGCCACATCTCACTTTTGGGCTCAGAGTGAAATATCACATGAAGAGGGGACCTTAAACAATATAAAGTTCCATGTTCCACACATTGGTTTTTTACAGATTTCCAAAATCAATGCATTAGCCTTAAAGCCTCCCCATTGCCCCAACTTCATTGCTACCTGTCAAACTATGAAGAAATCCTTTCACCTCAGTAAGAAAAGAACTGGTGACAGTGAGCTGCCGTGGGTAGATATAGTGGTTGTTAACATGGTGGAGTACTCTTTCAGAGAATTTTCATGACAGGTCAATATTTCCACCTAGGCCAAGCTATGAAATGGACTTTTTCAGGAAAAAGCCCATTCTGACCCTAGATCCAAACTTTATACAGGCAGCAACCACATGTAGGATTGGACAGTTTCTTTTAAGTAGGGAACACCTCCTTAAGCTTTGTCCCTGAGCATGTTCCTCCATGCTGTTTAGTGTGTATTAAAAGTGCCAGAGAAGATAAACTCTAGACCACCTTCAACCATCTGAAGTACATGCCAGATGCATTTCCAGGCTCTAGACAAGTCTTAATGAAGAACATTCCAAGTATCCCCAGTGAGGGGCAAAAAGGCACTGCCAGGCTGTGTTCAGCTAGCACAACTTACCTCACCCCTCTCTCTCTCTCTCTCTCTCTCTCTCTCTCTCTCTCTCTCTCTCTCTCTCTCCTTATTTTGTCTTTGTGTCTCTTTCTTCACCCTCTGGGCTTTCATCATTCTGTTACTATCTCCCAACCTTTTATCAACTTTTTTCCAGGAATTCCCAGCTATCATATAGAGTCAACAGTAAATTGCCACCCCAAACCAGGGTCATTCTGGGGCCAGGAGGATGAGGTTTCCCAACAAGTTTCCAAAAAACACAGTAATTCTTGCACATGAGTTTTTCCATTACAAATAGGCAGCTGAGGCATATTTGGCCTTTTATGGTTTCATTCAAGACCAAAGTCATGAGTCCTCCTCCACTGGTCCAACTCCAGCTCTTACCAACTCTCCAAAAGAAAATCCACTGATTCTTGGTTCTATTGATATGAAAGGACCTAGTTGCTAGCCTGTCTGCTAAAACAGTAGTACAGCAGGATGAGCTGGAATCCAGAAGCCCATTAATTCCCAGAAAAAAAAAAAAGCACTGAAAGTACTAGGGGAGCAACAAAACCCCTTTTCCATTCTTCCCCAACACACCCCATCTGAGTCACCAGAGGTCGGTTCCACGGGGCCTCTTTTGTTGATCCTGGCTGGTTGGTTCTTAAGAATCAGACTGCCACCTACTTCTCACCAGATAAAGGAAACACATTCATGGATTCCAAATCTGCCCATTCAGGTGTCGCAGGGTGTCAGTTTACTTCTTCTGCACGTGTCCATGTGCATGTGTGGCATTGTGTGATTTTGGAGAGAATGTTGGTTGGTAAAAGCAGCACAGTATTAATCTTTAAAGTAGGATTCAGCCTTTTATGCACCACAGTTACATTTAGGAAAACGAACAAAAATGTTAGAGCTTGAGACCTGGCACATTTAAATCCTCAAGGGGTTTGGAACAAAATAAACAGATCTAAAAGTCTGGTTTGGGTATATATGTTGCCTACAAAGGTAAAATAGTTTTAACCTAGTTAACAGCAAGAAGTTTGGCTTTAGAACTGAAGTCTCACTCCAAATCAAATTTTTGCCAGAGCAAATTTTCCTGTCAGAGCAGACGACGCAAGAGGAGCTATAGAAGGGTATAGGATTAGGTGGAAAATCTGAGACTGATATTTCTAGAGAGCTGTGAAGTGGAAATGTGATTACTTTACAATATGAGAAAATGGTTAATGGATGAGTTGGAGAAGAAGCCTTGTCAGAGTTACCACCTTGCTGCAAATGTGCCACACTGAAAGTTGGTAAAGGCCTTAGCAATAATACAGTTCAACTCCCTCTCTGTCCTTTGATGTTATCCATGGAAAGCTTGAAAGTATTACAACAGCAGAGCCAGGAATGGAGGGTAATATTGGAGAGAGATCTATACTCTGCATTTCATTAAAGTGGGAAACTAAGGACTAGGAAAAGGAAAGGAATGCTATTGAATCACACAGCTCATCATTGACATAGCAAGCTAATACTTGAGTTCAGATGACTAACCTCCAGCCCATTCCAAGTCCCTTGTTTTACGGTGAAGAAACCAGCCTGAGGAGGGAAAAAAGATTTGCTCATTTCATTAAACAACCATATAGCAAGCCCCTTTCCAAAAGAGTGTCAGCAAGATTAGTTACGAGGAAAAATAAGAACTGAGCAAAGTGTAGCTTTCAGCATATCCCATATCTTCATGATTACTTTCACTCCTGACCTTATGCTTACTATCACTGCCAACCAACACATATTTTGGGTATACTTTGTCCCAGTCAATCTAGACCTTCATGCAGCCTTGGCCTTGAAGACCTAGTTCCATCAACTGCCCTTCCACTTCCAACAACCAAATGGTACAAATAAAGCCCATCCCTCTAACTGTGCACTGGGCAGGGCAAGACTAAAGAGAAAGGACCAGTTTCCTTTCAGAGAAAGTGGTTTACCACCCATGCTATGTTGTTTCTCCCCACTCAATGCACATATCCTCAGACTACAGAAATCTTCATCTCCTCCCTTTAAGGCTAAATATTCTGTCCTGCTGTCAACCCCCAGGCTCTCCCACCCAAGAAATGCAGATCCCCTCAGAACCTCTCCCCCAGCAACCCCGGGACCCAGTCTGCTTGATCATTTGGGATCTTTAGATTTCAAAGCTGTAAAATCCCATAAATTTTATGAGCATATGGTCTCCACGGCGCTTCCCGATCTGAAAAGGCAGGCAGCCTGTAGCTCCTCGCCACTGCGTCAGTTAGCAGAGCAGGCCAACTGACAGAGATTACAAATCTCCAGTGCCTGAAAGTTTGTTCCTGGAAAGAGTGAACGCTGGTAAGAAAGTTGGAAGCAAGTTCAGAAATTTTAAAGCTAAAATGTAGCAGAGACCCCAGAAGAATAAGAAGAAGAATTAGATAACCAGACACCAAAGGCATTCAGGAGGCTCTGCTGATTCCTGCCTTTCAGTTCTCTCTAGCGGTCACCAGAAGCTGTGTATCAGGCACTCTGCGGGAAATCAGCAACTTCAGAAAGGAAAGGATGAGAATTAGAGACAATAGTGAGAAGAATAAGAATCTGTCCTATCTTCTTTCTAAGGTATCTTTTCCTCCTCTGGAACCCAGTGGCCAAGAGTACCTCCTCTGTCCTCAGGACGGGACAAGGGGCTACCACACCTCAACCAGGACAGAGACTCCTCCATTCCCTGCCCACCTCCACTGCCCGCGACTGGGCTCCCTAAGGCCAGAGTCTCCCGGAAGAATGACTCACAACTCAGTGTCAGTTTCCTGCTGAGCCTGGGCCAGATAAAATTAGCCCACTGCTCAATCTAACAAGTGTCAGAGCCTGGGTCCAGCTGGCATTAGGCGGTGGTGGGTGGCGGGCGGCGAGGGGGGGACGGGGGTCTGATGGCGGCTTTCCTCCCTGCCTCCCTGCCTGCATCCCTTGAACGAGTGGGCAGCACCTATTGTGCCCACCAACCCTACCACCCAAAGCCTCAGCGCTCAGCCCCTTCCCCTGCCAGAACTTGAGAAACCCACAGAGCGACCTCTACCCTCCTTGCCTTTCCCACAGCGCACCCACCCTCTATGCATACCCACCCTGCACTCTAAGAGTGTCTGGGGATGAAGATGGGGCCGGAAGTCCCAGGCTCCGGCTGTGGCTTTCCCCTTGGCTGTGGCCCCACCGGCCTCTGTTCACCATGGGCGAGGACGACGGGGTTTCCTGCCCTTCCGTGGACTTTCCTCCATTTCCAGATCTAGGAGGAGTAACAGCCCCCGGAAACGCAGCTGTCCCTGCCGCTCAGGCTAGGCCCACACCGGACAAGGAGGCAAGAAGAAAAACAGGAGGAGCCAGTTCCCAGCCCTGCCAACTGTCCCGTGGGCCTATGTCACCAGCTCAGCTCTTCCTCAAATCTGCGCCCCTACCGCCTTGGCCCAAGACACTGCCACCTGGGGCTGCAGCGGTAATGGGGTCCGCAGCCACAACTGAGAACACCTTACAAGGGGCCCTTTCCTTCTTACAACTGAGAACACCATCCCCAAGGTCCCAAGGATGAGAGGTGCAGCCACTGCTAGCAAAGAGCCCACCTAAGTGAGTCCAGGCTCCAGGCCCTCCAGCATAAGAGAGCTGAGGGGCAGGAATGACCTCTAGGAAACATTCCTGCTGGACTCAACCCCACCACCACTACCCTCCTTTCTAGTCTCCACACAGGTCAGTCCAGTGGTGCTACTTCTACCAAAAATGCTCCCGCGGTCCCTGCTTATCACCCAGCCTCCAAGAAAACTGGCACCAGCCAAAACAATCTGTCCCACTGCTCTGGGGAGCAGGGATCAATTTCACTGATGGGAGCTGTCAGCTCAGGTCTGCTCCCCTACCACACAATGTGTAGAGCTCACCCAGGGAGAAGATGCTTCCCCTGACAACTGCCTTAAGCTGACACAGGTGAGGCAACAGAATTTCTGAGGATGGAGAAATCTCCTCCAAACCTGCACAGAGCCCTAGCAATGATGAAGACCACACTGTCTCTCTGAATCACCTGCCTTTGTTGATTTTCTCCTGACCAAATACTCTTACACCTGACCGGTTTTCTTCTATCACCAGCTTAGTGGTCCCTAAGGAGGACCTGGTATTCACCTCCACTCCCCCTTAACACACACCCACTCACATGCTCCCTCCTCCAAAGGAGAATTCATGGGCTGCAGCCTAACAAATCCTGCCTCAAGCCTTTGCAAACATTTTCTTTCAAAACCTGTGAAGACTTTCCAGTTTCTGACTTCTCACTTGCCATCTCCACCCCACACTCTTACTCCACCACACAGGCCTGGTCACAAGGACTCCCTCACCTCCAGGTGAGCAATTTAGCATTCATGTGTTCCCATACCCCTCATCACACTTTATGCCTATTTTCCAGATTGAGGCCTAATCCAGAGAACTGTTGCCAGGTTAACCTCTTCTCCAAGGACCTTGTGATATAGGGGAAAGATCCCCCCAACCTATTGGATGTCCAGTACAAGTTTGTGTTCTTTAAAGTTGAAGAATGACTTTTAGGGAAAAAAAAAGTTAAAAGCAGAATGTATTTACTTAGAGAAAGAAAGCTTCTTTTTAAGAGACAGAAGGGGTCCCAAGTGGGATGTCAAGGACCCATTCTTTATTAGGGAATTTTATAGAGCAAAACCATAAGGTGAGGTGGGTCCAAAGTAGGAGAACATGAGAAATTCCAAGGTGGGCATGAAATGGGACAGAACTATGGTCAACCAATAAGACAAAAGTATAACTGCTCAGGTAAAATTGATTAAATCAGGGACTTAACCCATGCCCCCACCACCTGGCCCCAGACACTGCCACCTGGGACTACAGTGGTAATGGGGTTCACAGCCACAACCCTCAAAGTGATGCAGCCTGGGTGCACCAAGAACACTTTGCAAAGGGCACCTTCCTCCCTTCAACTGCGAACACCATCCCCAAGGTCCCAAGGATAATAGGTCCAGCCCCGAAGGTCTGAAGGATGAGACTCCAGGGAAGCAAGTGGACAATATAAGAGCAAAGCCTTTTCCTGTAGGGGATTAGGATAGTGGCTCCTCCTGACTTCAAAATAATTGATATCTATTTAGAATATCAATCCCTGATGTTTATCCTTAGGAAATATGTGGGTGAATTTATGTCTGCCTTCCTCACAGTTGCAAGGTATTTGGTCTTCTGCACTGCACCCACCAGCTGCCCACACCCCTGACCCCACTGTGGCTGGCAACCCAGAAGGGAGTTGGCCCAAAGTCCACCGCCAACACCTCTGCCCGTGCTCCCACTGCCGCCGCCACCGCCACAACCATGTTCCAGCTGCCACCACCTACAGGGGAGGTGACACAAAGTAATACAGGGCAGGCACTTGACTGATCTGAAGGGCAGGGGCCAGAATATGCTGTCCCTGTCTGCAACTCACTAGCACACTGCAGTGGGAAGTGTCATCTAGCCAGTGTGCATCAGAAGAATTGTAACAAAGAAAGAAAGAAACTGGGGCCTCCTAGAAGAAGCAAAAAAGATGGGAAGAGGAAGAAACAACAAATAGTCCCCAGGTCCCAACCCTGAGAACATTGACTCAGGACAGGTAAATATAAAGAAGAATGAGAACAGCAAACATACAATATCAGACACAGTGCCAGTGGACATAAAGAGATATATTCGGGACCTCATAGACAAGTTCAAAAGTGAAATATTTAGCCAAATAAAGCAATACATAGAAAAATTAATTAAAGAGATACTAAGCACCCCTCAAACACAGATGAAAGAAGGGAGGAACTCAAAGGAGAGAACCATTTGCCAAAGAATATTAATGTATATATATATATATATATATATATATATATATATATATATAGAATACATGTAGTAGATTCAAAGAGATCACCAGGAAATTAAAAACTCTATGGAAAGATGGCAAATCAGCTTGAAAGAAACAAATGATAGATTATCCAAACTGGA